ATACTTAAACACTCACACTCTGAGAGCCCTTGGGATGTGCGTGGTGGAGGAGGACCTTGAGTGCGATAGACGCTGCACTAATCTCTCGGGAGCGTAAGGATTGTTGGCCAGAGGAATCGCCGCCTCCCACTTCCGGTGCTCGCGCTCGGCTATCGTACCTGGCGGGGTCACGTGAGAGGTCAGAGGTCAAGGGATAAGCTGCTGGGTTACAGTTAAATAGATTTAATTTAATTTACTTTTTAATTTATTTTTGTTTTTACATTTCAAGGGAAGGGGAACTCTGATAGAAATGACGTGGATGCTAAGAATTTGATGAAATAAGAGCGATTATTACAAGTGATCTGCAGTGCATATATAGTGATTATGTTCATTTGTAAACTTCAGTTTTAATAAGATCATATAACACGAATTGTGTGAAATCAAAAAGAAACATCTCTAGGCTAATATTCATTATAATGATAATAATAATAAATGGACAGATTGCATAAAGACAAAGCGAAAAAGGTGGATTCAGGGGAGTGTATTTACAAATCATATCTGGAGACATATCATTACCATCTACTAAGATCTGTCAGATTAAGCAGTAAGCATATACGGTGCAATAGACAGACATTAACCATACATACATACACACACACACACACACACACACATACACACATACACACACACACACACTACCCATACATATATATACATATATATATATATATATATATATATATATATATATATATATATATAATATATATATATATATATATATATATATATATATATATATATATATATATATATATATATAACATACATACATATGGACACAAACACATAAACCATGACATAAATAGGTCTGCGATCTGCAAATTATTACAAATCATCTAATCTAAAAGAAAAAAAAACGTGAAACACTAATCAATATCAAAGCAAAATACTCGTGTATCAAACTATTGCAATTCTAATCTTTCCTGTGACATCCCTATACACATTTTACTCGAGATAACAATATCAATTGTGATACAGGCTTGCTTCAGATACATAAAAAACAAGTGACAGTAAATATACGTGCGACATACGAGAGACGAGGAAGACACAACATGGCGTATACATAACACACAAAGAGCCATGCAGCAAATAGGTGAAAACAGAAGCCCCGACGGCACAAGATACAGGTGCAGGTGACAAGTGGCAGCGCATGTCGACAGCGAGTGGCCCATCATGCAGTTACCTGGCTGGGGTGTCGACGCGGTGACGGCCTCAGCCTCGTGTTCAGCCAAGGGATCGTCCTCATGCTCCGTGAGGTGTTGTGAGGGAGCACCAGAGGCATGAGGCGAGACGCTAGAGAGAGGAGGAGCGTGGGAGCCTAGCGGAGAAGTGGGGGAGGTAGCTTTAATGGGGGAGGAGGGGGAGGGGCCTAGCGGTGGGGGGTTCCTAGGAAGGGTCGGGGCGTCCTCATCTGAAGAGGAGGAGGAAGAGGAATCGTCGTCATGGCTCGAGGGGCAATAGTCAAGGTCGAGAGTAAGAGCGTTCTGAGGGGAGACTAGCGAGGATTCTAGCCCAATGAAGGCGGCGTTGCGAGCCTCCTGGCACAGCGGGGAGGAAGAACCCTTGCTAGCGGAGGGATCCTTAGGGAGAAATTCTGTTTCCTTTGCACCGTCACCGTCATCCTCGCTACCAAATCCACCCTCACCCTCAACCATCACACTGGAAGAACCTAGAGGACCTAAAGTCACACTCCTGCCATGCAACCCCTGCTCGGAAACACCGTCATCATTATCCTCATCCTCGTCACGATCATCTTCACTGTCAATCCACGCCGAAGCCTGCCTAACGAGTTCTCGCCTGTCCCGCTCTGCTGCGGTGGCGTCTGCCCTGGAATCATGCTGTGAGTCTACTGCACTCGGACACGCGGACCCACGTGTCTTGGGGCGTCTACCTGGTTTCGTGGGCACCTGCAGGATCTCGTCCAGGTCGTCTGCGTCTGTGGTCACGCCCGAGGAGGTGGTCAGCGGATCCTGCGGGACTCGGTGGGGCGACGTGTTTGCCGAAGCTGGTGCTGAGTGCTTGTTGGTCGTGGCCTGGCCGGAGGATCTGGCTTTGTGGGAACCGTGCCTTCTGCCCGGGGCGCTTGGGTGGTCGGCCTGAGGGAGAGAAGGACCGGAGTGAGGATCGGACCTCCAAGGGAGAGGACTTTGTTACCACAGAGTTGGTTTGCTTGCGCCTGCCTTTCATTGATCGATACTAGTGTGTTGGTCTATACTGAGACATGTATGTTAAGGAACAAAGCTTAAAAAAGTTTTCTACATTTCGATTGCAACAACAATGCTATATACTAAGAACAATAATTACAATAGAACAGGAAAAAAACAGTAAAATTAATAATAATAATAATAATAATAATAATAATAATAATAATAATAACAATAACAATAAAACAATAATAATACATTAATAATAACAATATACAATAAAATTAGAGAATAATAATAATAACAACAATAATAATAATACAATAATAACACTTAATAATAAATAATAATAATAATAATATAATAAAACAATTAAATTAAAATAATAATAATAATAATAATAATAATAATAAAAGAAGAAAGAAGAACACTTAATAATAATATAACATAATAAATAATAATAATAATAATAATAATAATAATAATAATATATAATAATAATAATAATTAGAGTATAAATTAGAATAATAATAATAATAATAATAATAATAATAATAATAATAATAATAATAATAATAAATAATAAATAATAATAATAATAATAATAAAATAATAATAATAATAATAAATATATAATAATAAAAAATGATAATGATAATGATAATAACAATAATAATAATAATAATGATAATCATAATAACAACAATAAAAAATAAAAATGATATTGATGATAGTAAAAATAACAATAACATACAGAAAATACAGCCAAAGCACATACACCATCAACAGAAAATCAGTAAAAATAAACACAACAAGGTGCTCTCTGCAAATGAACAAGAATATGAATAAGGTGACCCTGCAAATAAAACCAAATAAAGTGCAAATAAAATGGCCCTGTAAACAAAACAAACGAGTAAATGCAAACAAATAAAGAGGCGCCACCATGGACCACAGGCATCGTCCAAAACATCGACCTAAGGGAAAAGAGAGAAGAAAAATAAATGAATAATGTGCAGAAAAAAATCCTTGGAAATTATCTCTGGGAAAATAATGATAGAAAATCACAGAAAGAGAAGAAAAAAACACACGAAAGCATCGCTAGAAAACAACAATAAGAATACGTACGCACAGAAAAAATACACATTAATTCCTTTAAAAAAAGATAAAGAAAGACACATAAAAACTCATAGGAAAAATAAGGAAAAAATATACACATAAATGAAAATATCGCCACAGAGGAGCGAGGAACAGAGTAATCACGATTACACAACAACTCCGGTGGAAGGTCTCTCTCTGTCTGTCCCCGCCAGGATCCTCAGCTCTGCGGCAGGAGCGGGGTGGAGTCGTCGATGCGAGGGCGTACCCAGCAGGAGCACAGGTAGCTGAGGAAGTGGTCCGAGCGGCGGGCAGTGTTACCCTACGCGGCGGGAGATACGCCGTCAGAAGGGGGATTTGGTACGTGTGCGTGCGTGTGCGTGTGCGTGTGCGTGTGCGTGTGTAAAAGTATTGGGTGTTGGGGTTGGAGAATTGGTGCTCGTGGGAGTTGGTAACATTTTTCGTTTTTCGTTTTCTTGAATCTTATTCGTTATTATTATTACCGTTTTTATTATCTATCAATTTAATTGGTATGATTCCATCGATAGTTTCAAATGGATTATCGGTGCAATATACATACACTACTCATTAAATGTGTTGTAATAAATGCTGAAAAAGGTATATATAAATGGATAACCCCACAGTGCTAGTTGTTAAAACATTTGTCGACTGTGTTGTTAAAACTAGAGGAATCTGAATTTCTTTGATGGTAGAGGCGAGGGATAATGGCTCCTTGGATATCCTTTTGAGGGAACTGAAATCTAAGCAAAGCTGGGTATGTGTCTGATATACCTCAACGTTCCTCAGAAATGTTCTCCCCATCTATACATATTCTGGACAAAAAATAAATAAAAAAACACACTAGGAATCTACAAAGGTGGATTATTCACTTCCTCTCAGCAAAGGCAAGAAACATCGCAAAAAAAAAAACATTCACACATTCATAAGGACGAAAATCCCCTTCAGGTACGATGTTAAAACCGACCTTTGATGAAGACGAGATGGAGCGGCGAGAATCCGTTTCGTCTCTGGGTATGGGTGTTCCCTCTGGCACGATTCGGACGCGGCACCGGGTTGCCACTGTGCCCATGAAGTTGCTGGCACTGGCTACGATCTCCCCGCTATCGTGTTGCGCCCATTCGGACAACTTCACTGTCCATGTGCCGTATTGGTCGCTCTCTACCGGGGTGTGGGGGGAGGGGAGGGAAGAAATATTGTTAAATTTTGAACCGTCCTTTTTTGTTTTTCTTATTCTTATCAGTTTTCATTTACTCATTTGTTGATTGATATTTGAGTTGTATACAACTTATTTTCCAATCTTTTGTTCGTTAGTTAAAATACTAAAATTAAACAAAAAAATAATGTCCACACATCTTAAAACATACACACCCACACCCACTTTCCCAGACAGCCTCCAGAAAACGATAAACAAATCTTCACTCACCAATAAAGACTTTCGAAGAGGATTCAAGTTTCTCCGACCCTCGCGAAAAGGTCACACGGGGCTCGGGATGACCTGTGACCTGACACTGAAGGGTCACCTCGCTCCCTTCTTCAGCGACCACGTCAGACAGGCCCTTGGTGAAAGAGGGTCGCTTCTGAGGCCGAGACGAAGCTGTGGTCCGGATGACATGTGAAAAAGGTTGAAGTTGTAAAGCAAATGAAGAATATTCTTGTTGGCAAATGTCATCTTCGAGAATTCAAATGGATAAGAAT